TCTAAACTAATGAATGAATGCAAAATAAATTCTAACACTAATGAAGGTTTGTTCTAAATAAATCAAGAATGAGAAAATATATTCTAGGCTAAGTTTTCCTCGGGATTATTCTACCAAAGATTTTTTATTTAATCAAATCTTATTTAATTTTACCAATCGTAGGGGCAATCACTAAAGTAATTTAACCTCTCTCTCGAGCAAACTAAAGCATTGATTAGTTCCTATCTATCTTCTATCGGTCTCAGGATGAACAATTAACTCCCCTAGTTCTTAAGATTCTAGTTCCCTGCAAGATTCTACCAACCTCTCGGTCTGCTTAGTCTCTTACGTTATGAATTATCCAATTCTAGCAATCAACTTTCTCCTCTTGGTCTCAAGTCAATCACAAATATGCATAAATACAGACCCTATATTCACACAATTAATATAAACACAAGAAATTGATAAACGAATGATAGACCAGAATGAATATATAAAATTACTTCATAAAATAATTCGATTACTCACAAATCCTATAAATCCTAAAAGGTTTAGCTACTAAACATGTTTTCAAATTTCAAAATAAATAAATACATTAGTTCGATGAAGAAGTAAAAGAGAAAAAAAGAAGAAGAATTATTGTCTTAGTTCCCCAATCTTCAATCTTGATTTTCTCGAATTCCTCGTGCGTTTCGTGCTTTCTCTCGGCTTCCAAAAGTGTCAAAAGTGCCCAAAACCGAGTTCTCAAGTCTCTTATATAGTGTAGGCTGAATATTGGTCGAAATAGGGAAGAAATCGCATCAGAATTCTAGCCCTCGTGAAAGTGGTCTGCGCGTCACACGACTCGTATCATATAATCACACGACTAGTGTGACTATTCTCCGATTTCCACAAAACTCCCAAAATCACACGAACGGTCACACGACTCGTGTCACTAGCCCACACGAGTCGTGTGTCCTCAACTGCACCTCGTTTTCGTCATTTTTCACCTCGACTCCATTTTTAACGGCTTCTAGGGCATATTTTTTGCAAAACTAACAACAAAAAGTACCTATATCATAGATTAATAAGTAAAACATAAGGGTGCACAATCGAACAATAAACGCGACCAAACACGAACCTATCACTCATAATGCATGTAAATATGACGAATGTCAACTGGCGCAAGGCGTGCGTGGGCTCCTCGGGCGCGTTTGTAGGTTTTAGCCGAGTACGATCGAAAGATCTCACTCGGGTCGTCTTCTCGAACGAAGGTTGTTCGGAGCTTCGTTCACTATCTAGTCGTCAATTCAGAAAACCGAAAACAAGGTCCTACACATGCTACTCGCTTGATTTGGGTGAAATTAAACTAATTTGCACTAGGAATTGAAAGCAATTGATGAAATGTGATAGATTTGGAAGAAAATAATCGAACTTTGGTTGCACGGAGTCTCCATAACTCAAAAAAACGAAAATAAATTAAATGAAATATGCAAGCCTAGTGATCCTAGATAGATAAACCAAGCCTTAACTAAATCATCTCGCTTTAACCAAGTCGAGACTTTTATACAAGATAAGCACGAAATTAACTCCTAACACACTTAAGCAAGTAAGAACAATAAAGCAAAGTTCTAAAATCGAGCATCACACAAGATTCCAGCAAAAACACCAACATAACAAACAAGAAGGAAAATAAACTCGAAGTAATAAGCCCTAATCAAGGTATTACTCTCCTATCGCAAGCTCGGACGAAAATAGTGCGTAAAGCTCGAATCTTAGATAAAAATAAAGTCGTCGAAAACGCGCCGAAAAATATGAGTCATAGAGCTCTCAACACATAGATAGAAATAGAAATAAATAAATAAATAAATAAAGACCTATTCCTCAAAGGGAGAATTATGAAAATGAAAGCTTGGTTTACAAAATACAAAAGAAGGCATGTATTTATACTAACACCTTAAACGCACACTCAAAACACACACATTTAATGAAATACACTCGCCCAAGGCCTTGGGCGAAAATTTCTGCCTAGCGAAATGTGGTGAGGTCCACCCGGGCCAATAATTTCGCCCATTTGCTTGCTGGGCGAGTGTAGGTCAGGCGCTCGGGTGTGCGCGCGGGGGGCGCTGGCAGGCGCGCGGGAGCGCTGGCAGGTGCACGGCGCCGGGGCACGAGTAATGTCTTGGGGTGGCTTGGAATGGCTCGAGTGGTCCGGATAATGGCTCGGATGGTGGCTTGGACAACTCGTCTTCCCTAAACTTGCAACATGGACCTAATCAACGCCAGAATAGACGAGAAAATACACCAAACCACAAAAACACACGACAAAAGTGAAAATATACAAAAAACGACAAAATGGATCGGTCGACTCTAAAACGAACCTAAAAAGGACTCAATTAAAGCACATAAACACACGAAAATAAGCNACTTTTTTTTATCATTTTGAGTCGTGACTATATACAGGTTGGAGATTCGACCTTAATCTCCGTTGAGTGTTCTTAAAAAAAAAAATCTTTGGAAAATCTAGGTGCGGCGAATCAGGGTAAATTTGGAATAAAAAGATAATAAGGGATGAGTTTCTAGAAAAAAAATAGTGTTGTGTGATGCAATTTTTTATTGTTGCATTTCTTCAATTTATGTTTAGAAAAAAAAAATACTATCATGTATTATCATTGTTAAAGAAAATGTCCTCATAGAATTGTAAATTTTGAAAATGTCAAAGCAGATTGTAAATTTTTAAAAAATAGTGTTGTGTGGTGCAACTTTTTACTATTATATTTTTTTCGAAAAATGCTACGGTCCCGTTACGGAACATTCCGTCGGGATTTTAATCGTTGGATACACATGTAGTTAATATAAGATAGATGATCTAACGGTTAAGACACTCGATGGAATAGATATATTTCCGTAACGGAACCATAGCATGTCCCATTTTTTTCATTATACATTTGGAAAATTAGGCCGGCCACGTCACTTTCTATTTGCCGGAATCGGGCTCCATGATTTATTTTTTTCAAAAAATAAAAAAAAAATATAAAAAAAAAATGGTAAGCAAACGTTTCGCCTAAAAAATAAAAGTCGAGACGTAATTGGCGAACTTTGAAAAAAATTGTACCGTCAGGTACAATTACGCTTTATGTAGAAGATACTGTATTTCAATACTCTTTAGTTCATGTAAACTATGCAGCCATAACAAAAAATCAGCATCTCATCATTTTTATTGTTTATTTAATAAAATCTATTCCGTTTATAATATAATTTAAAGAAATTTTAAAAATTTAATTGAAGGGTTATATATCCTTGCATATGCATAAAATTGTATATATTAGTAGACCAGAAAATGGACATGGTCCCATAATTTCTCAATCCTAAAAACCTAACAAACTCCACTAATTGACAAGAAAACATGGAATATGTAAGTTCGGATTTGGATTTAGCGACCTTTGGATTTCGAAGTTTGATTTGTTATCAGTGCTCAATGATGGAACTTTTAGAAAAAGGGCCATTGATACGATCTTAGGAAAAATATATTGTGTTGCCCTGGGATTCTTCGTTCATGTTGGTCTTCATGTCCTCATCAAATATGCATTTGTAATTAAATAACATTAACAATTTATTAGTGGGTGGCAATTTATATATAATCCTCCATCACTAACTCTTCTTTTGGAATAAAATATACCAATCATGTCATCTTTGCATGAAAAAGAAGCATAATTTGAAAGCAGATCATCTTTTTGTCTTATAAAAGAAATTTAATTTTAGTGTACTATGCATAGGCATTTGGGTACAGTTGAAATTGGATCTTAATTGTAACGTGAAAACGCATATTAAGTACTGATCAAGAGTCAATTGTGCCAAATATTCTCTTTTTAATCTGACATTTGGTAATGTATGTCGGCTACTCTATCTTATTTATACACACTGTACTCAAAAAGTGGCTCTCGCTAATCAACAGTGTGTGTGTGTGTGTGAAATCCAGAAAATTAAGTCATCCTGTTTGGATGGACTTCGAAAGCTAGCTAGAAAGTAATTCCCGTATAGGTTTAAGTATAACTAACAACAAATAATAAGAACTCAAAGTCGATATATATATAACCTTTTGTTTTTATGAAAAAGAAACTTATGGCAGTGTGTTATATTAATTAGACAAACTGGAAATCAAACTGTATTTAGCGTGAGATATTAATTTAAAACGTATTTTCAATTGTGACTAAACTGAACAGATTAGAAGAATAAGCTAACATTGGCAACAATAATTAATTAAATAAATTGGTATTATATTCGACTAACAATCAGTGATTCTATCAGCAACATTTTTCAAGTTAATATACTATATAAATTTTATATTTTGCATCATTTGTTAATCCTGAAATGGAAATCTCTTCCCCACTAAAAAGGTAATAAGAATCCTTTCTNAGCCTAATAAGTCTAAGACAAGCCATACATATAATTAATTAAATAAATTGGTATTTTCTATATATACACATTTACTACCCTTTGGGTAGTTGTGTATGAGGTGAGGGCTCACTACTGTTTCTACCTTAGCCATTTAGCAGTCAGTAGTACTACTAACCCCTCCACACTCTTTCTCTTTCAACTGAATGAATAATTCTTTTCTCTCTCCCTCATTTTGCAAGCAAAGTAAGAAGACCATCATTATTACACGCCCTCCATCATCACATCATCATCTTCATATCAAATTCTGTTCACACCCTCGCCACTTTTCCAGATCAACCCCTTAATTAAACTGCCAAAAATCAAAAAAATAAAAAAATAAAAAAAAAATCCATTGTTCCCTTCATCATCTCAGCCCAAGTTTTTCTTCACTGAAACGGCTGAAATGATGATGTGCATAATCAATTGTGTGCACACATCTTATCTTACTTCTCCCCCACTCACTTTCTCTCTCTAGGGTTTGTGGAGAGGGTATCCTTCGTAATTTGGTACCATCACGATCAATCCCGATTAATCCTCAACTTTTTTTTTTTCTTTTATCCAATTAGCTGATATATACACACACAAAATAATACATATATATATATATGTTGGGTTCATTCGGTTCTTCCTCCCAGGAGGAAGCCGAGGCCGAGGAGCATCCGCCGCCCAATCTCTACAGCCGCCGCCAGATTGAGCATCATCCGCCGCCGCCGATCCAGATGCGGCAGCTCCTCCTGACCTGCGCCGATCTCATTTCCCGGCCGGACCCCTCGGCCGCCGGCCGCCTCATCTCCTTCCTCTCCGCCAACTCCTCCCCTTACGGCGACTCCACCGAGCGCCTCGTCCACCACTTCACCCGCGCCCTCTCCTCCACCGCCACCGTCCACTCGCAACCTCCTCCACAGACGATGGTGACGTCATCCTACCTCTCCCTCAACCAGATAACCCCTTTCCTCCGCTTCAGCCACCTCACCGCCAACCAGGCCATCCTCGACGCCGTCTCCTCCCACCC